GTTATTCTGTTATTTAATTACTGACAAATAATGTTAAAAAATTTAGACAGTAGAGGAATGGTGGTGTGTGGAAATTTTAGTTTAAACACAAAAAATATTTTTATTGAAGTAAGGAGAAAAAGTTTCAGTTATCTTTTCTGTAACTGGTTGTACTGTTTAGCAGGTATTTATCTTCCCTGACTACTGGGGTGACCATTGCTCCTGATCTGAGCCATCCGCACTCCTTCCTATACTGGGTTGTAATAGTTTTGTTATTGACTTGAATCACAAGAGATGGGAATACTAAGAAGCTAACCTTTGATAGTCCAGCAAGTCACCCCTGAGGATAGAATAATCCTCTTTGCTTGTTGATTCACTAGCAAGAGAAGCCCACATTAACCAGGGACAGTCTCAATTTCCACTTCAGTGGAACTACTGCTGTGCTCTCTGTGAAACTAATTCTATTTTTGAAATACCTCTAGATCATCATCTAGAGACATTGTTGTTAGGGAAGTATCTGTTATACTGAGGGAAGATGTTTCTACTCTCTGCTTCCTCACCCAGAGGTCTTTGCAGGGGGGAAGAAACAGCACCATGAGTCAGTTGCTGATTTAGAGCACATCTTGACTAGGGATACTACCCAAGTCCTGCAAGATGCTGCCACCCAGCTGGTGCCATAATTCCAAAAAGACATTTTACTGGATAGCTACTTTAGGGTGATGAGGAATGTATTAAGATCAGTAAATTCTGCTGAAACCTACTGCAGCTCCTCATTTATTGAAAAAAGAAAACAGTAAACATTGATCATAAGCTGTCCGATGTGGGATGCCATGATTGTAAATAAGTCATTCTGTAAGTTCACTGATGGTGAGTTTGGCAGAAGCATTGCAGTCTGGGAAGGCGAGTCTATATCACAGTAACTGGATATTCCAGGAGAGCCCCTACCTATGTAACCAACCCAACACCATCCAGTGACTGACTGATTTCCAGAATGGGGCTCCGTTTGGTCTCAGCTGTTGGCAGACTCAACAATGGCTGTGTCCATTGGTATCGATATTACTACTCCCATGCCTAACCTCCACCCTCCCACCATGGGGGAGGTCATTACTTTGACTCCAAGCATCATCACTTGGCTTCTGGTAATGAGGAATCTCACCATCCCCTGTAAATAAGGGGAGCCAGGTTTGATGGTGTTGGTTCCTCCCATCTTTTCTGTCCTACAGAAAATGGCCACAATAGAGCTCGAAGTTTTCCTTTTGAGTATGTTTGGGCTTGCTGAAAGGACTGTCCTTTGGAGCTTTCTGGGCATATATTAAGAGAACAGGGAAAACAGATATTACATTTTAAATCTTGTCTAGCATTCCAGGCTTTCTTAGTCATTGTATAATCTCTTCTACAGTTCATATTTCAGCTTCCCTATTTCAGTCAACCAACTGAACAAATTTAGAATCACTCAAATTTATACACTGAGTCAGAAATCTCATCTTAATGCATCTTAATAAGTTAATTCACCCTGATTTGATTTTATAGTCCTTCTGCTCTAAGGATTCATGTCTATACATGCAATCTTTTGGTGTATATCACACCATCTTGTGGACCCTTCTTTGTATTTCACCTTCTGGAGTCTGGATTGGATTCTGTACACAGTGAGTGGTGATGGAAGTAGATCCCGAGGAAAACCACAATCATTACTGCAGTGAAGGCCACTGCAGTTCTTTCAGGCAGCCTAGTTTCCTCAGGCAGCGGTGGAAAGACCATTGCTACTGAAAAAGGAGATTCAGCAGAACTTAGGCACTCAAGGTCTCTAGTTCATTGGAATCTGCCTCTACATGTCTCCATCTTCACTTTCATAGACCCACTGTTTTCCGTCAGCTACCTAACTTTACCAGAAGAGACCTATGCAGTTAGGGACATAATGTGTCCCATAGGACAGTCATAGAACCTTTCAGGTCCCTACACAGACCTTGGGAAAGGAATTTAAACCCCTTATGTATCATATTCTTACCCCAAGTTATTCAGGCACTTAACAGCAACTCACTAATCTCATTACATTTGTTATGTTCAAGCAAATACTGGTTAATTGAACCTCTTACTTCGGTAGGCATTCAGTGCAATGGGAGGAAGATGCACAGCTAGTGACAGGAAATTTTTAAGCCTTAGTTAGGATTTCAGAGCCACTGGAGATTTAGGAAGTTGGGGAAGATATATTGGGAAGTCCTTTTGTGGCCTTTTCTCCTCAAATCCTCACCAGTCTTTATCCCTTTTGTCCTTTAGCTCCCTCCTTTTTTGCAGTGTCTTTCTCTATTATAAGTCATTTTATTTGTCATCCTTCAAAGTCTAAATCTGAAATGGATTCTTAGACTGGCGGCTCATATCCACCAGTTCATTCACTTTTAGTACCTCTCACCCCTGTAGCTTTTCCAGAACGTCTACCTTTACCATGAAGCTCCAGCTCCATAAATTTTCCTAATTCAAACTTGGGGTTCTTTAGCATTTTTACTTTTTTAACAAAGAACATCAGGGAGCAAGTAAATAAGTTGCCAGGCCTTTTCTCTGTCTTTCCCAATGCTATCTGGGGTCAATTTATTGACCACCTCTTTCAAGTCACCTCTCAGGTCATGATTTCCATTGTCTTCTTTGAGACTTGGCAGATCTGATGGTGTTGAGTATAAGAGGTCTTCTGAATCTCACTGTTGCACTTCTTTTTTAAGTAAAACCAACAGAATAGCAAAACAAAGAACCATTTGCAAGTTGACATTAACATGCGCGTCCATGGTGGTTGGCCATATTTTGAGAAAGAAGCAATTTTATCTCCAGTGCGATCCATGCCTGAAAGTTAGCCTAGCAACTTTTGTTCTGAATAGCCTCAATAATTAGCTTGAATTTTCTAGTTGCAACTTCATCATTCTGCAGATCAGCAGTACTCTCTCACAAACAAGACACTTAGGCTACCAGATGCGATGCGGTTCCTTGACACTTGCCTAGTGTTTCCCCAATAGTGCTCATATTGAACATTGCTGGTGCTTTCGCATCATACCAATCTTTCTTAGAAAATGGATCAACCACGTCCTCCTGGCTCCCTTTTTGCCACCTCTTGTATGGCATTCTTTTGGCCTGTGCTGCTCAGAGAGCCAAAAGTGTCTCTCTCATAAAACAACAACAAGCCTTCTTGTCTCCTATGTTTCCAAAGAGTCTTTTTTCATCCAGAAGAAAGGTGCTAAGTGGGGAATATGCAGGCTTTTGGAGCTGAGATGAAGGGCCCTCCCATATCAAGTCTGGAAGCTAAACCTGGGATGAGAGGGCCCAAGGGCTACAGAGGGAGCCCCACACCTCCTCCCCTGCCTGGCTGTCTCAGCTCCAGCCCACACCTGCTCCTCCCCTTCGCTCCCCCCCTGCAGTCCCTGGCACCTGACAGGCCCAGAGCAAACAAGGTTGTTTGTTCCTCTCTCGGGAATGCACAGGGACACAGAGGAGGTGCCTGGCACTTTGCAGTTTCCTAACGTTTTCTTATGTGTACTGTTTTTAAGACTTTCTCTGAAATCCTATGCTCTTCAGTTACACACAAGTCAACAAACACCTATTTGCTTGAGGCCTATTTTATGTGGTGGGTTTGAGGGTTACAAAGGAGTGAAGAATGCTGTTGCCTCCCATTGGCTGCTCACATCTCATAGGGGGGCAGGGAGCAGAGACACTCGTCCTCAATGCACTAGTGCAAGTCAATGCACTAATGCAAGCGTCAAACTTTGGGGACAGAGTCGATGGAAGTGTGAAGGCAGAGATTAATTATAACTGTAGAGATTTGGGAAGGCTCCTGGGAGGAGGCTTTCCTCTGCAGACACCTCCAAGGAGAGGGAAGCTCACAAAGGCACGGGAGTGGGGGAGATCATGCAGAAAGAAAATGCTTCTAGAGAAAAGAACTAGCTAGTATGGACCCCAAGGGGTCACCAACTTTTAAGGGTCGGCAAAGACAGAGGGAAGAAGGGATGATCAGAGAGGAAAGAGGAGGATTCAGACAAACAACCTTAAGTGCAGTGAGGCCAGAACATTTTCTGCTCACTAGGCACTTTAGAACTGGTTGGGACCTTAGCTGCAAATTAGTCAAAGCCACTTGTTTCACTGAAAAGGAAGGACACTGAGGCCCAACTAATTGGGAAATGATTTGCTCAAAAGGCAAAACTTGGCCCAGGACTTTGATCCTCTAGCTCATTCTGTATCACATCCCTTGACAAACCAAAACACCTTATCCTTCATTTTATACACCACTTATATATGCCACCACGGTGCTGAGCACATGGTAGGAACACATCTATTTGCCAGATGGAATTCGCTTTCTCCCTCACACCTCCTGGTTCTAAAGAAAGGGACAGGAGGAGTGAACTTCCACCAATCCTGTTATAATACTGTACAATATGCTGTGCCGGGTGTGTATTGATTCTCTCTTCTTGATCCCACAGTCATGCTCTTATTCCCACCTCACAGACGAGGGTCTAGAGCTCGGAGAGCTAAGTGATTTGTTTTATCGCTAGTAAACATCCAGAATTCAAACCCAGGTCTCTCTGACATTAAATTCCAAAGTGAGAGTTTCCATTTAAATGGCTGAAATTGAATTCAGTTCAAATGATTTCTCCTCTGTGCCCACACATGTTAGAGGGAGATGGGGGATATTTTTCTTTTGGGGTAAAAAGAAAATGGAGGTGTAGTAGAAGAGTGTATGTGAGAATAAGTGCTTATAAGGGCTAACTAGTTTTAACTACATATGACTTACTGAACTTCCAGGAGAAGAGGTAAACTTTGTTTCAGCAATATATATTTGATTTATTTATGCATATACAAACTGGGGTTTAGGCCAGAGGTACTGGGATGAGAGGATTCAAAAGGGACAGAGTGGGGAGCAGAATAGGTGGGTCTACTGAAGTACACTGGTGAGGGGAACCGCCGGTGAGACAGGAGAGGTCTGCTGGGCCATGTGAGTCAGCTCCTGGCTGGGGAAAAAACTCAGGCTGCAGTGGCTGATATCTTGATGGCTAAGACTTTAACCTCTCTGCCCCTAGGGAGGCCCCGAGGTGAACTTATTAAAAAGATGCTGCAGGCCCTCCCTGGTGGTGCAGCTGGTTAAAGCACAGCACTAAGAAGCTTAAGCCACTTCCGTAGGGAGTTCGATTCCCGACTGCCCCTGAGGAGATCCACATGGTGAGGCAGACCTCTCCTGACCTGCCCTCTGCTCCCCTCAGCAGTGTACTTCGTCCATCTGCCTGTTCTGCTTCCCTCTCTGTCTTTGGTGAATCCTCTCACTCTCCACATCTCTGGCCTGTACCCCAGTTCTATATGCATAAATAAATAAATCTTAAAAAAAAAAGATGTTGCCTATCAAACTTCAGCCTGTCTCAGCTTTATTGACCTTTGAATCTTTCTTGAAGGTTCAATAACTCAGGGCTCTTGTTAGAATGGAAAAATACAGAAAGAACTGGGTTATGACATATGTAACCTCTTAAAGCATCTTGTAAGAAGGAGTTGGAGAAAGGAGAAACTGAGAAAATAGAGATGATGGTGATGACAGCGACGGTATTGATGGTGACAGTGGTGGTAGTGGAGTGTGTGTGCCAGCTGGTGCTGGACAGGGATAAGTCAGATTTATCACAGATCCTGAATACCAACCTAGATTTTCCCTTCTCCCCTTAAATCTTTTTAAAACTCTTCCATAGGAACTTCTGGGGTTGTCACCAAGCCTTTGCCACCACCTACTATGCCTTGGAAGGTTGAATCCAGAGGTTGGGGACAGGATGGGAAAGGATGATGTGGATGGGGTATTGAGGGGAAGCCTCATTATCCGGGCCAGGTGCAGGGGCTAGCCTTACTGCCAGCTGGGGGTCCGGGAATGGGGCGGAGGCTCTGGCTGCTATTTGTTCAGCTCCAAACTGAGGTTCCTGTTAGGAAGTCTCCTTGTTTATGTCCAGAATGATTTGTTTGCTGTTCACACTGCATGGAGATTTGCCCCTGACTTCAAACAGGGGCAGGCGTGGGAAGGGGGAGTATGGTCAAACTCAGAGCCCCAGGGTCCACTGAATAATTAGGGAAAATCAACCTCTATTAGCTCCTGATGAGCAAAGGGGAGGGTTAGACCCCACTGAAAGCTCAGTCCTGGGTATCTGTTTTCTAGAGAAGAACCATGTGGGGGCTGCCCAGCCAGACATCCTGGGTCAGGAAGGCATTTGGTTGGTTTGTTCACAGGGGAACTGCCTAGTGAGGAATAAAATCCTAAGGTCAGGGCCCCATTTCTGGGTTGCTGATTCCGTTGGTCTGGAGTGTGGCTTGGGCACCCCAACTTGTAAACACTCCTGAGATGATTCCACTGTGCAGCCAATGTGAGAACCAGAGTTCTAGAGTCTCACTGGCTACATATGAATCACTCGGGAATCTGGTTAAATCCCCAGTGATTCAGCAGACCTGGGCTGGATCCTTAGCATCTACCTGTGCTCCCAGGTGATGCTAGTTCTGGAGGTCTAAGGACTTTACTTTGAGTAGCAAGACTCTAAACCTGCTTTAGACTCATCTTTCTAAGTAAGGCATGGCTCAGAGGGGTGGGGGTAGAGCTTCCTGTACCTGTTCCCCCATTCTTCCCTACCCACACCTTTTTGGGTAGAGTGATCAACAGACCCCACAGCCTATTCTTCTAGTCCTTCTCAGGAGCAAAACACATGTCTGGCCCTAAGAGAGACCAGTTCAACTCGGTCCATTTGGGGAGTGTGGCAGAGGTAGGGAGAGGGCAGAAGCAACAGGCACACCTGTCACTTGTCCCCTGGGGAACTTTGCTTGTTGGGTAGATGGGACACAAACATTGTGCCGGAGGCCTCTTATACCCCAGTGAGCCCAGTGACTTGTTTAGTTTAATAGAATGTGGACAGGGAGAAGTCAGAGAAAATGTGGAGAAAATAATATAGTCTAACTTCCAATGCTGGGCCATATGATCTGAAGTTTTCTGTTTGACCCTTGGGATCCAGATGCCATATGAAGAAGCCTCAGATCCATAAAGAGGATGAGGCAGGTCCCAGCCTCCCAGGCAAACCTGCCAAGACCCTGAATTTGTGAGTGAAGCTATCCTGGATATGTCAGCCCCAGCACCATCTAATTGCAACTCAGCCTCACTAGATAAACTGTGGGTCCCACTATAACATGAAAACTACTATAACATGAAAACACCTTCACATGTTCCACAACTACTAGGACTTTCAAGCTAACAAAAGTAGAGTATTAAAAGCAACTGCAGGGCCTCTCTGAGTGTGCAGCTCCACAGCTTGTACGCCTCGAACCCAGCCCTGATCACAAACTTGTAAGACAGCCTTGCTGACACCATGTGAAACAGGGCTCCCCAACTGAGCCCTGCCCAAATTCCTGAACCCCAGGTTTGTGAACAAACAAAACAGCTATGGTTTTAATTGAAATGAGAAAGTCTTGGGTGATTTATTTTATGGTGCAGAGACCAAATACATTGCATGGTCTGACTCTCATAGGATGGGGAACTATGAGACAGATCAATGATTTGGGAATCTCACAGGCCTGCCCCTGTCTGGCTCTGGGTTCTGGGGAGACAAGACCCTGCTTTATCACTGCCCACTGCTCTTACAGTGCACTGTAGAATTTAGGTCCTCCATTTAGCCAGCAGTTTGTGAAGGTGGGGACTGTTTGGAAACTTGGGCTCTGCAAGACCCTCTATCTAGTTTGTTGCAGAGGTAAGGTAGGAGAGTCACTTAGTAGGATGTGAAGTAGGATGATAGGCGCAAAGGGGGCGATGACCCTACTCATGGAGCCACTGTTTTTGCTTTTGCCAGTTGATGCTCCTGCTGGGCACTGTCCTTCCTTGGCCGCTGGAGCACAGTGCTTTCTGGGAGGTGCGGTTTCTGGAAACCTGAGATCTAGGGGCCCCGCCGACAGGGGGTGTCGTTTCTCGCAGTGGGCAGCAGGGGGCGCGCGCAGACCGTGTGATGGGGCTACGGACGCACCGACTGCGCAGGGAACCAGAATCCGGAAACTCTGGCAGTCAAGGCTCCGAGTGGCCATCAAGCCTCCGAACGAGAGATTCCTTATATGGGAGCCTGCAGATTAGGCTCAGCTGGGCATACAGAGTTCTCGGAAACTCGGAGGTGGAACGGGCGCTGTGCGGGAGGCCGGTGAGAAGGGCTGCGGGTTAGGTCGCTGTGTGTCCGCTGGTGGAATCAACGTTTCCTCACTTGGGGAAGAGACACGCGCTCCTTCCCTTCCAGGAAGAGTGTAGAGGCCATTGCAGGTTATTCCTCCAATGCAAAACGAAAAGACCACATTTGCCCTCTGTGTTCTTCCCGGCTCTGGGGGAACAGGGGCAGAAGACAAGAAAACCACCCTTCTACGTAAAGCAGTGTGTGTGTGTGGAGACTCATCTTCCTGTAGTCTCTGGGGAGACTACAGTCCTTGGCAGCCCAAGTGTGCTGCTGAGCAAGACCCTCTGTCTTGACAAGATGGGTTTATAGATGTTTCTTTTCTGGTTCCAAAACTAATAGATACACGTGTGGCATAAAAATAAAACTATATGAAAATTGCTATTAAAAAATGAAAGACCGTCCATAATTCCTTAACAAATTAATCACACTGTTAGCGGCGTTTTCCAGGTCTACTTTATTCCATACATGTACTAATGTATACATTTGTTGTAATGATTTTTTACAAAACCTCAGGCTACACCAATCAGCTCCACCACCAGAATAGACAGCCTGTCTTTGAAGAAGGGAGAGGCTCAGGACTCCTCCAGAGGGGTCCTAAGGTAGAATCAGGTGCAAAATTTTTTTTATTCTCTGAGCTGAAAAGCCCTACAGGTGGGCAGGATGTAAACCCTTGGAGAAGCTGAGTAAAGGCATGTTTATAGGAATGATCAGCCTGGTTTTTCCATGGCACTCAGAAAGAGGACCATAGGGCATTGTTCTGTGTTCCCCTGGAACTTAGAGGGAAACTTTCACGCCGGCCACAGCCTTGGAGTCCTGCAAATGAGAGAGAAAGATGTCCACAAGTTCTTGCCCCAGGAATCCACTTACAGTGGCAGCAGACTTGACTTCCAAATGAAACAGCCCATGTACGAAAGGGAAAGTGGCGGCGTGTGACCATAAACTTGAAGACAGTCTGGGAGAATCCTCTGCTGGCAGCCAGTGCCGCAGTTGCCACTGAGCCTGTCAGTGTCACGTCACCAGGAACACTGGTCAGTGTGCTGCTGCTGCTGCTGCTGCTGGAGCTACTTCAGTAGCTGGCCACTTGGGACCTTCACTGACCAGATCCAGGCAGCTTTCTAGAAGCCAAGACCTTGGATGGTTACTGACCCCCAGTCAGGAGGGCTGATCCCCAGTCTCTCTCAGAGGCTGCCCACCTTTGCTGGTGAAACAGGCTCCCCTGTGCTGCGTGGGCATTGTCATCCCTGCAATGACAAGGGGCGGCCTTCCCTCGCCCCCTCTCACATGGTGGTGCTGGCCCAGGAAGCTCTGCGCACTGTGGCACCGTCTCCCATGAACACCCTTGGGTGCTGTTCCCTGGGCACAGGGCTCTCCTCTGGCACGTGGGTCCAGGGCCCTGCAGGTGTGCTGGCAGAGGGCTTTCCACGCCACACCACCCTTCCATCAGGCTGAGGGAGAACTAGGGTGCAAGGAGACGGGTGGCTTAGAGCCAAGCCTGGGGGGTGAGCCTAGGGGGTCGGGAAGGACCAGAGGAGATGTGGGGGGGGCGGGGGCTCCCCTGCCCTCCCCCTCCCTCAGCCACTCCTAGTCCCTTGCTTGCAGCCTGCACTCCTTCCTCCTGTCTGTCCCCCATGCCTGGCTCCTTCCCTCATTACTCTGTCATGATATTTGGAGCAACCCAGTTTTTTTTTTTTTTTTGAAGAATGTTGTAGTTTATTTTACATCATTTTGTGCATTTTTCCATTGCAGTTGTAATCCCCATGGGCTTCCCATCACCAAATCACCCGTGTGCCATCACCATAGTCCAGTGCATTTCCCTCCCCCACTGTTTTTGATCCCATTCCCCACTCTACCCCCACAAAATGTCTCCAGTATATAGTTCATTATTAATATTTTCTCGCCTGTTCTGTTATATTCCTTCTATGAGAGATACCTAGGTGTGGGGTTGCTGGGTCATATGGAAGCTCCCTGTTTAGCAGTTTGAGGAACTGGAGCAACCCAGTTTTAACGGGAGTTGTTCCCCACATGTAGGCCATTCAGGACACCGGGCAGAATTCATACCACTGGAAGGAGGGGCAAACCCATTGTTCCGGTCTGGGAGCTGTCTCCGCCCAGTCGCCCTGGCAGCCTCGGGGAGCCCTCGCCCTCACCCCGCCTGCTGGCAGCCCGAGCCTCCCCTGAGGCGGGCCGGGTGGGCAGCCTGGGCCTCCCCCATTACCCATCCGAGGCGGCAGAATCACGCCTGCCCAGGGCCGTGTCGCCGCGAGCTGAATCAAGGACAAGGGATTGAGTTGGCCCCCCGCGTGTTTGCCCAGCGTCGGCCCCCACCGCCATCCGGCCGCCCTAATCTCTGATACACTTGCGAGTTGGCTTCCTGCCCCCAGGCCCCTGCTCCCGGTACGCACAGGCCAAGCGAGGCGTTGCATCCGAAATGCGGCATTTGAGTCGCCGGCAGAGGAAAGCTATAATTGCCCTAATCCTCAGACAGGGCCCTTCCCGCCGGCTGTGGCCCATTGATTAGCACGGGAGCCCGGAGCTCTGCACAAGGCGCCCCACACCCCACCCACCCGCGAGAGCCAGTCTGGACATTCCAAACCCCACCCTCAGCCCCCTCTGTACCTCCGTCAGCTGAGGTCTGCCGAGATTTGGGAGCCAAGTAGTCCCGGAAAGGGCCTTGGGATTGCCAGGGGAAATATAAAGGTAGAAGAGAGAGGGGGCACCCCCGAACTTGAAGGGACACATCCCAGACTGAGGGACTGAGACTCTAGGTCTTGATGTTCTTGCCGTGGCTAGAGAAGGTGGACAGAGGGTCCACAGTGGGCCCTGAGGTCACACTACGGAGCTGGGAGTTGGGAGGTCCCTGCATGCCCCCAATGCACCCCTAAGGTCTCAGAGCTAGGTGGGGAGGGGCTGCTTCCTGCAGGCAGCTGTCCCTTGGCAGGCAGCAGCCCCTCTTGCAGTCTTCAATCACAAAGACAGGGGAGGAGTGAAGAGTGCCCTGGCCTCCCTGGTCTGGTTTGGTTCACACTTGGTTTCCCTGCGCAAGACTAATACTTGATGCTGTGACTTTCCAGGGTCCAGGGTCCAGGACCCAGGGAGCTGGGGCTTCCTCTGACACCCTGAGGCCCAGGTGAGGAAAGCTAGGGCTGGGGGCAGAGACTGGGCTAGTGGAAGTGGTGAAAGTCTACAGAAACACAAAAGTGGAGGGGAGAAACTGGCTGTGGCACCAGAGTGGACTCATGTGGGGCACCTCCCCTAACACTCGCCAGTGGGCCTGAGACTGGGATCAGGCAAGTGGGGCATCACCCCAGACACAAATTTCGGGAGGCGCTGCCTCTCAACGTTACGCAGTGCCGGGTCAGCGCCCAAGAGACAAGCCGCCTTAAATTTTGCACCTGGGGGCCTCCTTGCCTAACCTTACATCCTGGCCTCCCCTGGCTTCAGGTAGATTCAGGCACTGTCCTTTATCCTTTGGTTTGTCACACAGCCCCCACACCATCTCCACATCCTCACTCTTCACTTGGTTGTTAACCAACTGCTGCCCACCTGGGACAAGAAGCTGCATAAGGCAGGGACTGCCTCCCTTGAAGTCTCTGCCAAGATCAGTGTCCAGATGCAGCGAGAGCCGAATAGGTAAACAGCAGGTGAACGAAGAAAGGACAGTGTGTCCCCTCTCTCCTCTCCCCCAAACTGGAACTCTTCCCTCTAGAGGAACAAGGCTGGCTGCAGTGTCTACCCCCCAGGGGTGGCTTGCTTTACCTCGAACACATTTAATCCTCAGACCTTCCTCCTGAACATGAAATCGCACAACTGGTGTGTTTGTTCTCACACCCTCTGATTCTGAGCCCGCTCCTCTCTCCGGCCAGAGCCACCTCCCTAAGGGCAGGGGCCAAGCCAGGCCTGGACTTCCTCATCTGCCTGAGTCACTGTGCCCCCAACGGAGGCAAGTCCTTCTTGTGCCTTATTTCTGGCTGAGGAACGGCTGGCCCAAGTCACATGTGTCCTCAGTGACAGCGCTGAGCTGAAACCCCCTGGGCTGCAGTAGTTCCACTTTATGTTTAGTAACGTGTCAGGCAAACCCTGAAGATACAGCTCTCTGCCTCATGCGTGGAGTGTGGGTTGGTGGGGGCCTGTCAGCTTCTCTTATCATACCAGATGCATGGCCACTAGCTGCGGTAAATGTGACTGCATGTGTGCGTGGGTGGGATTGTATACGACATCTGTTGGGGGGTATCGGCTGTGTATGAATGTGTGTGTGCCTGGGGAGGTGTATGTGTGGTGTGGTAGCAGAGGAGGGTGTTATGGACTCTTGGATACCAGCAAAGGCGGGTGGGGTGTGTTGGCTGGGTGCGTGTGTCTACGGGGTGTGGCTGTCGATGCGGTGTCCCTTGGTTTGTCTCCGTGTGGGGTGTCTGCTGAGGATGAGGGTGAGTGGTGTCTGTCAAGCATTTGGGCTGGTGTGTGCATGTGAAGTCTGCGCCGTGTGCAGGTAGCTGCTGGGTGCCTGCCGATGATTACGATGCTGCCTCTGGAGGTCTCTGTGGAAAATACCTGGTGATATTCTCCCCTTGGTGACCATGTGCCTGGTCAGAGGGTGCTGCCCCTAAGTCTGGGCTGGTACCAGGGCATGCATCGAAGCTCTGAGAAGTCTAGGGTCTCAGACAGTCAGGAAGCTAGAGGCAACAGTCACTGCTGTGATCCGGGAGGTGGACCCCAGGCAGGGCCGGGTACTGCTGCAATAGTGGCGCGGAGGCTGGTGCCTGCAGTCTCCAGTCCTGTTGCTTACACATGGCAAGGCCCCATAAGTCACACATGTTCCTGGCAAGGGAGGGCAGTGGACATGTCAAGTCTGAATCTCAAGCCAGGCAACAGATTCAGGCCCAGGGTAATTTAGATTCAGAGGAGACCTAGGAGAAGGCTGAGCTCAGATGGTTAGGGGTAGAAAGGTGAGCCAGCTCTGAAGGTCCAGGACTAGCCCATACGATCCCCTTCTGGGTAGACGTAGCCCCAGGCCAGGGCACAGGACTCAGTGTAGGAAGCAGGAGCTGAACCCACCAGGTCAGGTGCCCTTGTGCACTGCCAACCTGCCCAACTGTACACTGTGGCCCTGGACCTTGGCCTGGGAACCTGCAACCTCTGCTTCTTCAGGGACTTCAGAGAGGGCATCCTCCTCAGGCTTTGGAAGAGAGGGAAGGCCTGGCTGACTGGAAGAGCTGACTTTGGAACAGGGTAACTGGAGACTTGTGGCTGGACCAGCTCTCTCTGGGTTTTGGGCTGACCTTCACGGTGAAGCACCAGCAATCTGGAAACTTCCCCCTCGACAGAGTACCAGAATGGCCACTCGAATTAGTCATGGGAAAATTGGGATGGGAAAGAGAAGACAAAAGAGCAGAAGGAAGGCTGACCTAAAAGGGCAGTCAGCAGGAAAGATAAGGTCTGATAGTTTTGAGTGAATCCCCCCGGAGTGACAGGAATCACCAAGAAGACCTCCTCCCTGGGTTTGTAACCTCAGATTGTTAACTTCTTTCTGGCCTCAGTTTTGACATCTGCTTCATTAAGGTTCGAAAATTTCCTGTGACTAACCACAGACAGAACTGGCCGGGCCCCGGACTGACCCAGATCAAAGTTGACAAACTTCTGGCCTTATTTGCAAGGGACACTGGGTGGGGGTGGAGAGTGGATGGCTCAGTACAGCCCACCCCACGCCCCCCAACTGAGAGGCCAGTGCAGAGCCCACACCCTGCTGTGTGACCACCCTCCCTGCTAGCACATATATGAATAAGATGTGTGACTACTACAGACTTTTAGCTCCAAGGAGGGGCTGTCTTTCTAAATTCTAGGATTAAATTTGAAGGCCTCATTTCCTGACTTCCAGACCTGGGAAACTCGGGCAAACTTCAGAGCTGAGAGAAGACCATTTCTTTGCTTGCTAAGGCCTGGAGCTCAGCGAAGGGCAAGGGGCAGGGAATTGCAGGGCTTTAGAGGTCAGAGAAAATGGAGGAGAGGAGGGAGCTGGCTGCCTCAGCACCAAGGTGGGAGGGGGAAGTGAACAAGATTTTCCACCCCTTCAGTAAAACAAAAAAAAAATTATTTCTCCTATTTCCTTCTCTGAGATTAATGATAAACTGCCTATACCCTAAAAGAAAATGATAAAGACTCTAATTTTACTTGGAGGCTTAGAAATGCCATTTCTACGCAAAACAGGGAGCCCATAATCAGACTTGAGCGGGGCAAAGCTTTGATAGAAAACGTTTCCCTCTCTCCTGCTATTTCTTTCCCTCCTTTCCCTCCCAAACCAAGATGCCCGACAGCTAAGAACAATGCTCAATAAAGTGAAATAATATTTTAGTCAAAATAGGCCAAGACTGCTTCCAGCCAACTGTAAATTAGCATTTTGAGGGCAAATATGCAGACAATTTGAGATAATGAAGCCTGATTATTCAATCCAATGAATGTTAACTAGGGAGCAGAGGCTCCTCGGCCTTATCTCGCTCCCTTCGATTTATTTTTTTAATCGTTTCACATTTGAACTCTTTATTTGTTTCTGTTCTATGCGCCCCCTCCCTATTTCTCGCCTTCCCTCCCTCGCTCTCTCACGCAAGCGTGCGCACACACACACACACACACACACAATCTCCCTTCTTCTTCCCCTCCTCCACCCCTGCGCAGACCACAGGGCCACTGGAGCAGTGGCCGTGGCCCTTTGTGGAGTCGGAGAGGAGGGTCCGTGGTGCGCTAACCAGACAGCTTGGGCCGGGCGACTCAGTGATGCACAGGACTGGTCACAGGGTGTGGGAAAGTCATGGACTTTTATAAGGAGATCTGGGGACTGGGGATGAAGCATGGGAATCAGGAGGTGCTGAGGAAACCCAAAACAATGGGAGGAATAGCTTTCAAGGTCTCCAGCCTGCCCTCCCTGAAGATCCTCGGGGAGTCCTTTAGCCCCGAATCATGGAAAACTGCTCTTAAATTATTCTTCATTCTGGGCAGTATTATTTTCTTAGTTTGGGGGACCAGATGCAAAGTCAAACTGTAAAGGCCCTTGTTAAAAAGTTCCTGATCAAGGTGATGAATAGCAAACTGATAGTGGGTCCTTCTTTTGAGCGGGAGCCAGGCAATTGTGCCCTCCATAGCCATGCAGCTGGCGCTGGCTCAGTGGCGGGAAGCCCAGAAAGTTCTCCAGAGGGGAAAGGAGGCTGTTTGCCAGTGAGGGGTGCTGTTCCTGAGACTGGTGAGTGGACCAGTGGAGCCGGGCTAGTGTCTGAAGGTGGGAACCCCAGTCCTGAAAAGCTGTCAGCTCTGCTATGCTTCCTCTCAGCAGTGCCAACCCTTCA